TTGGATATAAATAAAAATTACAACACTGTAAAAATGAAAATTGAAAAAATTAATTTTAATGAGCTCATTGAATCTTTGCTCAAATCCATGCCATAAGACAAGTTTTGTAGGGCTATCTTCATCAAGTGTTCATAAAAAAGTTCTGAAAACTCAGCCTATCTACGATTATAACTGTATAAATATGCAAACATCATAACTGATTTCTTTATTTTCTATTATCATTTGGGTCAATTTTGCAAACAGGTGTACTAAGTATAAGAGATGAATACCACGTAATCTCTCGATATAACCGAGAGTTAAGAAAAGAAACAAGGATCGTTCGTGCGAAGGGTGACAGTGGTGTCCACCGGATAAAAGGAGTGGATAACTTTATCGCATATCCGCCTCCAGAACATTACATAGCACATTGGAATCCATATTTTCGGATGTTCGATTGATATCTTAGAAGTGAGCMAAGCGAAAAKAACGTACATGTAATRAGTGGACAGTGAGGTAGAGGTATGTTGCATTCTCAGGAATCGTTTTATCTTTGTTCCCATTTACTGTGTTGGAATGTGATTACTGGTAATCCCATCTATTGGAGCGGTTCCATGATCCCGATCTCTGTACCTGCGATACATGCTGACTCTGATTTCATATAACGACAATCGATTTTTGCTAAAGCGCGGGAGGACGACGTGGACGGTCCTGAAGTGCAGCTTAGATTGGGATAGGTTCAAGGGCTTGTAGGGTTCGTCAAGGTGTTTACTCTTCGGTTTGTCAMGAGAAATTCCGACAGAAGTTCCCCACGGCGACTTAATATACAGTGTGATGGATTATGGGAAGCATAACATTTATAAAATGCRTGTTATGCTTCATCTTTATTTCCGGTACTTGACAAACCGTATTTTGTATGGTTTTTGACGTTGGTATRAACTTGCTGAATTATTGTACAAATRTCTAAATAAAGCACCTGATGACGTCGACTTGATTTGATTGATTTAAGCTCTACATTTTAATTTGTCAAAATAATATTTCTTCTCCAATCAATGTATATTGGCTGGTCTATCCTAGCATTGTTGTCTATTGAGTTTCACGAATTCCTCGAATAATCTGCGGTGGTGAATGAAAATAAAGTTTCTATGTTTTCGAATAGTGTTGATAGCTTTCCCATGACCTTTCCGGAAGGTCCACCCAGGCGATGATARGTTTGTCTTGCTTTATCCAATCGGCATGCGAGTCAACGCACCATGGAAAAGAGAGGGAAATTAAAGTTATCCGTTTGTAACAGTTTAACTGTCTGCTTGGCGTCATAAACGTTGTTGGCTTGTATTCTCGTTTGTGTTAACAGATCGATCTGCGTTTAAGACGCTATCAACAACTCAGGTAAGTAATAGTAATAAGTTAGAAAATTGCTTGTTTGAAAGCGGCTTTTCCACATAAATTCTAACGTACGATAGTATAAACTGAGTTTCTCACTGAACCGTATAAAGTATCAATAAAAAGGACATGATTTGAATTGAAGAACGCGTGATGCATAGAACAAGCTACTTTACTAAAGCAATTGACGGATATTGACAACAAGGGGAGTGATGGTATTGAGGGTAAAATTATAACCAGTAACAGAAACATCGTATGTGTAGTCTACCCGTGTCGCGGAAACCTTCAAGGTCGATATGACTTCGATTTCAAACTGATGTTTATTTTGACATGATTGACASTAAAAAATCTACTTTGATATTGAACAACTCGCACAAGGAAACTATGATATGGTCATGTCAAGTTGCTACAATCAATCCATAATCAAGGGAAATCGAAATCAAACGACTTTTATGATATTTGAAAGCTCTGAAAAATGTCCTGAGGTCCTCAAAGTGTGAGGTCCCTTTCTTTTACGTGAAACTAAAACGTCCCCCAAATATCAGCGATTATATCGCATGATGTCTTATATTGTATATCTTGATATAGTTGTAATACAGCCTTTTGCACAAATTATGAGACATTTTTATATATATAAATACAGCCTTTTGCACAAATTATGAGACATTTTTATATATATAAATATACCTAACCAAATATCAAAAACATCCAAGAAATTATGAGATACCGTCGCTGATATTTTGTCTGTAACAACCTGATGCTAGGCAATCATGACAAAATATCAGCGACGGTATCCCATAATTTCTTGGGTGTTTTTGATATTTGGTTAGGTATATTTATATATATAAAAATGTCTCATAATTTGTGCAAAAGGCTGTATGCCGCGTCTAGATGATCTTGGTATATATGCATTTGGTTTCCATTATAGACTATCACAAATCAAGCAATCTGATTGGCTAATAATAATATATTATTTCATTTCAATTTATTCAATTCTGTTCTAAGCGCTGTAACAAAATTATAATCTTAAAATAATAAAAATAATAACTAAAGAGAAAAGACTATTTTAAATAAATAAATAAAGATTTGAGATTAGATTAAAAAGCAGTGAGGTCGTGAATATCTGCAATGGAAGTAGGTAGACAGTTCCAGAGAAGAGGTGCAGTCAAAGGAGAAGTAGCGTGGGCCATAGGTTTACAGGTTTTAGGACTTGGAAGGCAAACCAGAGATTAATTCTTAACCGGACTATGAATATTCATATTTAAGAAAACAGTCGATCGAAATGTCGAGTTATTTTCCAATGTACATATATGAACATTCTATATATTTTTAAAATACAGATTGCCGTATTCAAAACCTGTCAAATAATATCCAAATGAACCGTTACATTGGTCTTACGTTTGTTGTCATTATTATGGCTGGAATTCTTTTTGATTGCTCAGCGGATTCCGTCATGTGGCGCAGGCGTAGAAGACGACGTGCAGTAGTCACACCCTCTGGTTGGGTAAGTCTAATAAGCATGCAATTTGAATCATATGATAGTTCCTTGTCTTACATTGCCGGATTTCAAGCCGAGTGGGGACTGGGCAAAATCCCCTAATTGGATAATCACGAGATAAGACTTACATAGAAAGAAATTCCTCGTTGAGAAATGCAAAATTCCAAAATCTGGCGTCAATCAGTTCAATATTGAACGAGTTACGGCCTTTCAAATATTCTAAAATTTACAAAGAAATGTATGGGAAGCCGTGAATGTGTCCGCATTTTGACCATTTTACGGACACATTCGCGAGCTGAGATCACATACATTTCTCTGGAAATTTTCGAATGTTTGAAAGGCTGTAACTCGTTCACTATTGAACTGATTTACATCAAATTTTGGAACTTTGCATTTCTCAACAAGAACTTTCTTTCTATGTAAGTTCTTATGTCATGACTATCCAATTAGGGGATTTTGCCCAGTCCCCACTCGGCTTGAAATCCGGCAATGGAAGATCGACGCTAGTAGGACACTTCTTTGGACCCCTTTCCCCACCTACCATAAGACCCCCTTTCGCACCACCCAGTTTAGGAGTCAGAGTCTTTTWCCTATCATGCATCATAAAAACTCCATCCTTAAGACCATCATAGGCCGGAGTCTTCTCTCCACCACATACAATTACCACCATCCTACCATACAACCCTTTCCACAACCTATCGGAAAACTTCTCTAGTGACATGACCCTTTCATACGCTGGAAGAATCCATTAAAACATTCTGTTCCATAGCTTATCATATTCTTATCGTCTCGTCATTCTCATCATGTGCGTATCTTAAATCTCATTAGTCTCCTCGCAGCCGTTCTTAGTGGCGGGCTCCCTGTCCCCCGCCCCACAAAGACTAAAATCTCATATCATGTTTTCACATTTCAGTGTGGTACCTGTAAGGACATTGAGTGTCGCTTGATCTTACCCGGAGTKCTTGACGATGTTTTAAATGATTGTGATTGTGGAGTTGAYTGTTATTGCTCATACAGCGAAACGACTAAACACGGTTTGCAAGTGTATAGATGTCGACCAAGCTGATTGACTACGTTTACTGCATAGATTGCTGTATTAGCAAATAAATGGTTATCAAACATGCACAGCTAAACAGCAGGGAAGTAAGGGTATCATGAAATCATGAGAACTGATCAACATTATGAATAAGGAAGTCCCTACTATTGCACGGCGAGAGCRCGCATCGGCTCAGACGCRCTACTTATTTTAAGTACAGAATATTTGACCTTATTCAGTGCCATAGGCAGTAAGGAGCAAAATTTAATAACTTATAGTGACTACAAAATGGAATACCCCCCTAGATATATAAAAAAATCTCCCATAGATATATAAAAAAATCTCCCATAGATATATAAAAAAATCTCCCATAGAAAAGGCAACCATAAATACCCACCATAATTTTGATAACGACCAACCACAAATGTAATAACATGAATGTAATAAATTGAACCATAAATGTAATAATCTAGAACCACCATGATTTTATAGCTTTTAATAGCAYTAGCTGACGGTTTTGACCGCCATTTTGTTTGGGTAGGCAAAGTCTCGCAAAATAACAAGGAAACAGTGTGAAATCGATGTCAAATAATCGCCTAATAGCTGGCACTGATCTGCCTCAACTGGATGATTTACTATATCACATTTATGGCATCTATGTTGGCAATTACGTTTATATATGGATAATGAAGTTATATAACATGTATAGTAAGGATTTACAACAATTAGCCAATATTTGTAGGCAAAACTTGTAAACAAACAAACAAACAGTTTTATTTATGAATCATCCTTATAGTTACATGTGAAATTTACCCTCGCAGTTAGTCCAAGACTATTCGAGGCGAGGGCGATGATAATGAAGGAGAAAAACTAGTATAAAAATGTCAAAAATCAGTCACAGTCTGAGTACGTATATTAGGAAATTATTCAATAAATATTAGGTTAAATATAAAATGATGACAAAGGTGTTCCTCAGTATGAAGCCTTTAGCTCGTTAATAATCTGATCGATATCTAAAAAATCGTCTGCTTTTTCTAAAATCTCGAGAGAGATGCTCTTAATCAGTGTCTTGAATTTGAACTTATTCAGACTTTTAATAGAAACAGGGAGACTATTCCAGATTTTAGAGCCCATAAAACGAAAAGAACGCCTACAAGATTCAGTTCTGACGCCATCAACGTAAATACATTTATTTGATGTTGATCGTGTCGTGTATCGATGGACATTTTCCAATGATCTGAATAAGCAGTTCAAATTGTCTGGGGCTTGACTGTTGAAAATATCATGCATCATAATGCATACCCGCTCAAAAAACATGAAGTTGATGGGAAGTGAATACTTGTGTCGTGAAAATCGGACTTTGAAGAGTGGCTGTCATTTTGTTGGGTTTTGTAAACAAATGTAATATATTGAGTATATATTACAACAGAAGTCTGCATTTATTAATCACGTGCTTGAAAAATCTCAAGTGTTAACTCGTCTTTAGAGAGGATATAACTATTTTTGTTGTTGATGATGAAATGTAAAGGTCAAATTAACCGCACAACTTTTGCCTACAACGCATTACATGCAACATGCCTAAGTCATCCCTACAACCTGGATGCAACTTAACTGTCATCTATCACACACTTATCCTGAATCACTACAACAGTTGTAGCCATGTTGTAAGAGACGACTTGGACAGTGAAGTCTTTGATTTGATTGGTTCAAATATTCCGCCAATTGCCATGTATGTATTCTGTGCGGCTTCTATTGGAAGTCCTTACAATCAATAATTAGTACATTTATACTTTAATACCCTTTTCTGAAAATAAACAAAATAAAAGAAACACAACCCACCTCCAGAATCTTTTCAGCCCGCTTCGTTGAACTCATTGTGGCGGGCAAAAGGGACCAGGGTGGTCTTTCACTTCTCGGATGATGTAGGCTTGTTCAAAACAAAGGAAGAAAACAAAAGTGTCAATGTTCTTATTTTTCAACTAATAATCCCCAATCACCACTGGGATATCTTGAAGAGGTACCTGCTTGATGTACCCGACACACTTGAAAGAGYCTTCCACGAAATTGGAAGCTGATGATGTCACTTGTCAGCATCAATTTATAGTTTTAGAAAGTATAGTTGAGGYGAGTCCATAAAACTGTCACTGACAAAACGGATGCTTTTAGCATGTTTTAGAGTTCGATCAGTATTCGTGAACTGATGCTCCTGTTTGCGTTGATCAATAAGCCAAATGCATGAATATGTATGTTGGTTWGCCTRCTTTGCAAACCTTGAGCCTTTTCGATTTAGGATGAAAGCTCKGAAAGGCTAAGTTGCAAATTTAAAACAAGGAAAATGCAAGAAAAGAAACCATAGTTACTAAATAAACTACTAAGAAACTTAGAACGTTGACCCCGGCCATAAAAACGCACACGTCGTACGGCGGTAGGCCATGTAGGCCAGACGATATCTAACAAGCCGGTCCAAAACATGTGTAGCGTCAATAGATCAAGTCATGGTTTTTATACCATTTTGTTTCGGTAGGCAAACTCTCACAAAATAACAAGAATACAGTGTGAAATCAAGAATCATTAATTGCAAACGCTAGATACTACGAAAAGGAGTTATACTTATAGATATCTTTTAAGAACGAGAAATTCTGATATGAAGTGGCTACGCGTCAACGCGTCAACGCGTCAAAAATGATCTTATGGTATACCTGTGTGTTGACGCGTTGACGCGTAGCCAAAAACCAAAAAAAATGTCTATTAGTAAGGCGGCTACGCGTCAGTTGTCCGAGGTGCGGGGTATTCTATAGTTGTACCCAAGATTTTACGAGTTGGGCATTTCTCCTTATACTAACACACACAAAAGCCATCCTTAGCATAAACGTAGCATAAATGTTGTTTAATTTTTCTTGGAATTTTCACTATTGGGGAACTGGGTTCGAAATAAAAGGAACGCCTGTCGCTTTTTTTTGTTTATCTTCTTCGTATTTATTTTAAAGCTGATGTCAGTCAAAAGTAAACTGAAAATKAAATCATTCATCGACCATAATGCCACAGGAAGCCCATGTATACGATCTCTGATCGTCTGCTACTTCATGCTTTTAAACAATTCAATTAGAACGTAAGACGTATTATATCTGTGTATATTTTTGACGCCACTCCAGTCCTCAATGCAAGCGCTAATCTTGGGTAAATGTCCTTATTTTCCAACACAAAGTTTGCAAAGATGCTGAACTATTTCAGCTTTTATAACAATTAGAAACGAAAAACAAATAGACAATGCATTACTCACAAATTGAAAAGATTATCGCATTCTCGTTGGGAAAATCTCAATTCCCAATGAAAATAACCAAAAAGCGGGAAAAACTATCGAACACTGTAAATGCGCGGTTACAAGGCTTCGTGACGTCACGTGTCTACAGTTTGGGTTCAATTTTGTTGTCGGCAGGAATGTCGTCGCGAATTTGTGTCCTTTCCCCTAAATAACACTTTTTTTAACTCTATAAACTAATCAAACCAAGAAAAAGTTTATTCGTCGTCGATGAAATRCCATGTGAGCTGTTGTGGATGGTTGAAAACAGCGCTAAAGTTATATCTTCGTGGATGATATAGGCTTAGAAGATTCTAAAGTCCTACAAGGTYTTGGAGCGATATCCCATCCATCATGGTGAATTTGCCGCATTCTTCTTAAGGTTTACTAAAGGAAAGTTGCTTTTTCTTATATCATATCATATACTGATCCAACAAAGGATTGAATTATTTCTGGTGAGGACRTAAAGAAGCTACGAACCATCGCGTGAACTTTCTCGTCTAGTGTCTGGGATACGATCCACAATGATGATGAATTCGGGTGAAATCTCCCAGTCAGGTACAAATTATTGATCTTTATCATACATTSAACTAAATACATATCATCAAGAATCTTTTTTTCAATTAAATAAAGTAGGGCTTGAGAAAAGTGGATATACAATCGCRTTTCGTCCGACAATTAACAGGGTTAACTAATTATTAAATTCAAAAGTGTCGTTGTGTTTTTCTTAATGAAAAACTAACTTTTTTTAAGATCTGGTATATGATCTAAGTGGAGTAGAACAAAGTATTATTTTGGGAAATTTTTCTGACATTCATTTCTTGTTGTTTCGCACATTAGTTGTAGTATAAAGATCGTGCAATATCAACTCTAATTTCTGTTCGTGGTATGTCGAGCGAGGTATGGGGAAGTCAAGCATTGGACGACTTCACTTCGCCGAACTTTGTTGTATCGCAGGAATGATCTTTGATGCTCTAATGTATTGGCTGAATTAAAATAAACTATGAAATCCWTAAGCATAGGTGTCAATCTGTGCAAAAATCCTTGTTCTAGCACAGTTTCCTTACAAAGAATTTCAAGTAGTTTTGAAACAACCATAGGTTTTGGTCAGGCCTCGTTTTTGGTAGCACGCTGTAAGCTGAAAGGCAGGGATAAGAATTAAGATTTAAAAATTGATCTCCTACTTTGTTTCATTACCAAGCCGTTGATAGGATTCATATAACATAGTTTTTTTAAGACAACAAAGAGACGATTAGCATCAGAATAGGTTTTGTTTATAATCGCCTGCCCCAGGCTGTCATCATAATCACCATTATAGCTTCTAAAGTTAGGATATATTCGATTATCACTGTTAAAGATTCTATGGTTGTTTTTCTATACAGAGGGATGTTGTATGGCGTTTACACCACAAAGCTGCCCCACTAAGGTGAGTATAACCTTCAAACTGACTGCTTKATTGGAACRGTGACTCCTTTGCACATGGAGTCGTAGGAATTTCTACGATATCATAAGTCTGTTTATAAAATTACATTTCATTATGTATTACATCACTACTTAATACATATTTTAAGACCAACCATGTGAAATATTCAATACCTTAAGCTTTTGCAGGGGAATAGCTATCGCATGGAATTGGTCGTGTGTTCGATTTCTTCGATCGATCGTTCGATTTATTTACATAGTGCTTTGGTACTTCTTCACAAATTCTTTGCAAGTTGATSTTAACCCCATGCTACGATTCGTTTTCTTTTAATAAATACTGGTTATTTTGAGGAAAGTGCTCTTAGAAGTGCCTTAGAGAAGCCGTGAGTAGTCTGAATAATCGTTTTGTATATGTGTTGGCGATGTGGAARTACTGATTGTAAATAAACTATTGTACTTATAAATGACATAGTTTAGCCGATTGCTATGATTATAAAACTGATCTCTCATGTAATGTTAAGATGTTACAGTTCTACAGTCACTGTTGGTTGGTTTGAAACACTCAGTATTTCACTCAGATTATRTGGTTTAGAGGTTATCCCTTTATGTCATTCAAGTAAATAGGTTGTAAACATCCAAGGGAGTTAACCAGTTTAACGTGTGATGTTGGAATATTGTCTTTATTATTGTATTATTTCATAAGCTTTGAATGAAAGCAGAGCAGATTTAAGGTTGTCACTGCAAGTGCTTTTGTCTGATCTCATAGAAATTTTGTCTTTAAGTTGAGGTGYGAACAAGGAAATAATTAACAGGTCTTCCAGTCTTTATTTCCTCTACAAAAATAATAACAAAAATTAGTAAGAAGCTGTATGATATAAAAGATTARCAAAAGCACTTTTCTCTTGGTATTCTAGATTTAAGACTGAATTGAATCACTAAAGAAAATATGAGTGAAAAAGATTTGAAAAATGTTTGGTTTTTGTGCACATTCATGATACTGTACATGTACATATAACAAGCATTGCCCAAGCTTATGAGAGCTAGTGTTTCTAATGAAACAAATATAAGACCCTGACAATGGACCATCAATGTCTGAAGCACTGGGAAATTTTTCATCCTTTTACAATGCAAAAGTATTATTTATCAAAACTCTTCAATCATCAAGTAAGACTTATAAACAGCTATTTCAGAAAATGTTGAATAGTGAAGATAGTATATTACGAGACCTAAATTCAATGTTGGTTGTTCTATTGCTGTTGAAAAGGAGTTTTAATATAGATGTTTTGTCCAAACTTCTGCAATAGAAGACCATTGATTGCAAATRGCATTGTAGCATTGTATTTTTGTATTTAATCATAGTATTTTTTTTATTGTAGGGTGGGGATGTGCTGTTTATTACATACTCAGATGACTTCCCTCTTCCAAGTACAGCAGAATTCTTTCTGGTGTTTGAAGGCAGCAACCAAAGACATGTGACAACAGCCCAACAGATAAATACATACACAATACAAGCAGTAGCTCCTAGTAAGTGACTCAGTAAGGCTATGAGTCAAGAGGACATTTGCGTCAAAAATAGTATGCAGACCTAGGGGCTATAAATATATAGGTTTGGGGAAGTAGTTTTTGACTTTTTGCATTTTGATTTTCTTGTAAAGCACTTAAATGGGCTAAAGGGAATAAGTGCTACATAAAAAAAAATTCTATTTATTATATAATTATTATTATTGTGATATTTGTAAGTTTGACTTGATTATCAATGATGTACTTCATTAACAAAAGCATGCATTAATGATATAATATATTGTGTTCTTCAGGACAYGACAAAGCTGAAAGGGTGTCATTAACTGTATACTGCTTTAAAGATGAGACTGTTGGACTSTTGTCATCACACAAGTTCAGTTATAATTTAGAAACAGAAAAAATATTAGTAGATGTACTTGCGCAACATGTGTCAGATCCGACATTCCTGGAATTATGTATTTCACTATGTTCGATATCCAACAACATTTCTGGTGATGCAAGGGAGATGTTGGACTCTAGATTTACAGAGGCATTTGAACAACTTGAGCTTTCTCCATCCTGGACTATATTTGGAGAGGGTGGCCAAAGAAATGGTTTAGATAATGGTAAGTGTGGATTAGAAGGCTAAAGTCACTGATGTTCTTATATTATACAAAATTCATTACGTGCCACAATAGTTCAGCCAATGAAAATGTGTAGTCCTTGTAAAGTACAGTTTTTTGCCAAAGAGTAAAATTATTCTATTGATATATTATCTTCCAGGCTATGAGACACTGCTTCATTTGTCAGCACATCTTGGCTTCAGTCAGCTAGCKAAGTATCTTTTGGACAAACCTGGTGCTGACTATGCCTTGACTCTTCTTGATARAAATGGAAAATCTCCATTAGACATTGCAAATGACAAAGGTCTCACCAAATTAGCTGATATTTTTGCAAGGTAATGATGTTGTAACTGGGTTTTCAAGAGTTACAGGTTTTGAAATCCTTGAAAAACCCTTGAATTGAAAACTTGTTTAATTATAATATTGCACTTGAAAAGCCCTTGAAAACAGGAAAACCCCAAAAATCTCACGAAATACTCCTTGAATCTGAAATTTCCAAAAATCACAGCAGCAAATAGCCTAGAAACCTGTAACAAGATTTAAAGAATAGTCTTTGAGAATTTAAAAAAATCCATGAATTTTGTGGTTAAAATGTATCACAAAACATGCAAATAGTGTATTTTGTGAATGTGAAGATTTCTAAAGTGGACATCTTTTTACCAATAATATAATCATATTTGATATGCGTAGTTACAAATTGCTGAATGTAGAATCATCTGACTTGAGTCTTTAMTGCTGTAGGGGAGCTAATCCAAAGAATGARCCAAGTCTGCCTAACGATAAACCACAYGCAACTAAAACTGCAATTGGAACCACAACTATATCATGCTATATAAAGAACAACAGAAATTCTATAGGTAATATAAGCCTGTATGTACATCCTTTCCCCCCTATAATTTWCAGKGAAAAKTTTCTCCATATASGAGAGCGGTGGAAGCGGATGTACACAAGCTATTTKAATCATGTCAAGAAGTATTTTAAGTCAAGTTTTCAATTTGTTGACAGAATTTACCTTAATGATCTTAGAGAACAGTGCAATAAACGTTGTAATTTTGACTAAATGTTGGACAATTGATAAACTCAAGAACTGCTTTTCCTCTCAACAGCACTGGTGTCTTAGAATTTTTCAGTTTGACAAGGACTATTGTTATTTGAAATGACACCATTTGATATCAATTTTATCTGTAGAGAAAGATATCGATATGTTAAGAGAAATGCACAGCATGGTRAAAGATGAGGTAAGTATTGTAAGTGCATTTGCATCAATGCTCATTYAGCAAGCCAAACAATGCGCAACCATATTGCACAACTCAAGCCAAACAGCTTTAAGAGTTTTACAACTCGATTAACTTAATTCTTTGCAAGGGACCTTGTTTTAAGATGTGATTTTTCTTAAAGTGCACATGAACCCTTTTTGAAAATCACTTAAACAAAAGGCAAATATGATGCTAAGCATTCTTTGTAAGAAAAWAAAGTTGTTTGAATTTTATTTTCTGAAAAATTAGCATTTGAAAATTGAAAATGCCAATGAAGTGACTTTCAACCAGGGAATTGGGCTGGATGTTTTTCATTGTTTGCAATATCTTGCGTTTAGTTGAAATGGTCAAATCATCAATAACAGTGTAATATTCAAGAGCTGGATATGTTATTTCGGATATTGTATCTTTTCTTAGTAGACATCACTTAATTTGCATTTTCAAATGCTTTTAAATCATTTGTTTTCCTTTGCAGAAATGCTTTAATAGTAGCATGTTCTCTTTTGAATAAAATGATTTTCTAAAAGGGTTCATGTGCACTTAAATAATTGTTGATACATGTATTGATTATAAAACTTTTTTTAATGTAGCTCAGTAGAAAGACACCAGTTTTCAAGCATTCTTGGCCTGTTGCAAAGCCTTCAAGTAGAACAACAGGTAAAAGCATTTCCTTTTATAGCTACTACTGTAGTTTTTGATAAAAACAGAAATATTGAGTTGGTGCCAATTCATAAAAATTGAACATGAAGTCTTCTTATTTTGAATGAAAATTATTTCAAAGCTTCAAGATTGCTATGCAAGTTTTTCTGCTTTTAACTCTTTCCCGTCTGCCCCTTGAAATTTAGGTCGAATTCGACCTATGCGTCAAAAGTCTATAAGTTGCCGAAATATTAAGCTAGAGCCCTGAAATTGCTCGTACGAACTTACTAGTAGATACTGTCGATCTTACAGTTAAAAGAATTTTGCAACGAGGAAACAAAAAACACAAAACATGACTCTGCTTTGAAATGAATGCCAAAATCTGAGTTTGAAGGACGGCAGAGTACACTGATTTTCATCTCAATTTGTAGCGTCAAAATATGTTCTCCTAGCAAAAAGTCCACTTGGTTTGCAAACCCCTTTGATAGAACGTCCTCATTTCGATGTTTT